CTTCACAGAAGCAAAGCCCAAACCACACCCACTGCTGTGGAGTCCATTCTGACCCACAGCGCCCCTAGAGGACAGAGTGGAACTGCCCACAGGGTCTCCCAGGCTGTCAGTCTTTATGAAAGCAGATCACCACACCTTGCTCATGGAGCAGCTGGTGGATTCAAACCACTGACCTTTCGATTAGCATCCAAGCCTTGGAAATCCTAGAGAACAGTTCTCCTCTGTCCTGCAGGTCATTGTGAGATAGAGTGGGCATCCAATGACTGGTTCTACATTAAGTCATTGCTTAATGGGTCATTTCTGCAGAGTAGCCATGTAAAGGTCACCAAGGCCACGTTCTCCCTGCCACTGCTGTTTTTATTATTATTTTTTTATAGGCTCGCTTTGTTCTGGCACCAATGCCCCCATTGTTCCATGTTGTCAGAGCGCCTGTGGGGGCTGAGTCCCAGTGCGGACCCCCAGGGAGTCACATCCTGAGGAGACAGTCGGAGAGACGTGAATAATCGTGTGCTAAATTCCATAACCAGGGCAGGCAAGCTGAAGGGCTGGGAGGAAGGCAGAGAACACACGCTGTGCCTCTGGGTGCCTGCCGGAGGTCCGCGTTGGGGGAAGCATCTCCTCCTCACGTGGAGTCAAGTCCCCGGGTTACGGACAAGGTCCCCACCTGGGTGTGTCTGTAAGTGGGATCTCAGTTCTTAATTAGCCTCACGTTAGTGCAGGAAAGACTCAAAGCCTTTGAATGATGTAAAAGCTGCCCATGCAGCAAGCTCAGTGACGGTGATGCCGCATATGTTGAGAGGAGGGGTCCGTTCACTCATTTCAAAGTGCCGGCAAAGTCCTGAAACACCAAAGGGCAAGTACAATTGTCCGTAAGTCGGAGGTTCGTAGCCCGGGGACGGCCTTACCGCATTTCCGTATTTCAAGAGTTGCAGCCATTGTCACATGCCGAGGGCCTTCTACTCTGCAGCCCTGGCTTCTTCATGGGCAGGACAGGCACGTGTAACAGAGAGCTCCCCATGCGTACAGGGTGCTGGTGTCGGCCCTCTGTGTCCACGGATTCCACACCCACAGATTCAACAAACCTCAGGTCCAGGATATTTGGGAAAATGAAGTGATGTGGGCAACGCAGTCCCTCAGAGCCTAAGAGGGAGCGGGCCGTGCTAGTCGCATGGCATTCCATCATGTTAGGTACCGTAAGTGACCCGGAGATGGTGGAGACTCGAGGGAGGTTCCGTGCAAATGAAGCACCATGTCACATAAGGGGCTTGGACACCCACGGATGGACCTGGACCCAATCCCCCAAGGAAACCGAGGGACAACTGTAATGGTAAGAAGGAAAACAGAGGGGACAGCATGCTTCAAGAAAACAGGAGAGACTGTAGCATTTCCAGCTGAGGGGAGGAATTACTGGATGGCAGATGACGGAGCAAATAGAAGACAATTGGAGTGTGCTGTGGAGTCGATTCCACCTCACGGTGGCCCCATAGACGGGAGAACGGCCCCACAGGGCTTCCGAGGCTGTGGTTTCTACAACAGCAGACACCCATCTTTCTCCCGTGGATCAGCTGGGATTCAAACCACACACCTTCTGTTTAGTAGCCAGGTTCTTAACCGCCGTGCCACCAGGGCTCCTTAAGGAAAGATGCATGTGGCAAGAGGAATCCTCTGGTTATGAAGCTCTGTGTCTGCTGGTCACCAGAAGTGACGAGCCCAGGCTTCCTAGAAATAAATGTGAGACGTAGGGACCAGTGGGAGGGTGAGGCCCTCACAACTCAGTGCTTACCTCACGCCCACTGGGACCCATTTAAAAGGTGCACAAGTGCGTAACCTGCCTCAGACCTGAGAGGATCGTGTCCACGACACACAGCTTTCGTCAGCTCCACAGTCTGGTCTAACTGTAATACTTCCCTTTCAAAAACCAAACTAAAGTCAAACAAAGTGTGTTTGTTGATTCATTCCTTCTATGGACATTTAAAAGAAGCCCTGGTGGTACAGAGGTTCAAGTGGTTGGCTGCTAACTGAAAGGGTGGTTTGAACTCATCATCCGACCCACAGGAGAAAGATATCGCAGGCAGCTCCCGTAAAGATTGACAGCCTTGGAGACCCTGTGGTGCAGTTCCACTCTGTCCTCTAGGGGCGCTGTGGGTCAGAATGGACTCCACGGCAGTGGGTGTGGTTTGGGCTTTGCTTCTGT